TTAATATAATTTCTTTTATTAATTAATTATATTTTTCCTTTTCTCCGATAATATTTGAAAATATTTTAATGATAAAATCATTGTTTTAGCATCTTTTTTAAATTAAAGATAATTTCTGTAAATTTTCTTTTCCTTCTCTTAACATTCCTTTTTTTCTCTAAAATAAAAATTAAAAAGAAACAATTCTTTCCTTTGTTAGTCTCTGTGAAGTGTTAATTGTCATTATATATCACTCTAATCAATCTTATGATAACAAATGTATGATATTCATTTAATACTTGTTTACATCACTAGCGCAAAACTGTCACAATTATGCATTTTTAAAATAAATGTAATATTATTTAATATTGAGAAAGTTTATTGAAGCAATGATAAATATGATAAGTTATGCAAACAATAAAATAATAAAATTAATATTTGGTAGAAAGAATAAATGATAAAAGATGGAACTTTTATGCTTAGGACGAAAAAGAGAGAAAGAGAGAGAAAAAAAAGGAGGAAGATACTGGAAGAAAAGATTACAAATAAATAAGGTCATCTAAATTATTGAACTCGAAAAATGAATGTTTATTATTTTTTTAATGAAATTGATTAAATATAAGAAATGATCAAATATTTACCTATTCACCTTGGTAATTTGTTAATCTGTTACAACGAATTTATCCTTCAAAAAGTTTTTGCAACAATTTCAATAATCCTTATTTTTCGATTCTAAAAGGCTGTTTTGGAATTTTTGCTATTAATTTCATTCTATTAATTGTTAATTCATTTCAACAAAGCTTTTCTATTTATGGTATTCTTAAGAAAAACATATATATTTTCAAATAAATAAGAATTATTTATGTAATCGTTGGTCGAATAGATTTTTCTAATTATTTCTTTTTATCTTTAAAAAAACGAAAAAGAAAAAAAACACAACGAAATTTATTTGAAATTAATTGCTGAAAACTTTAAAACGATTATAATTCATATAATTTTAAAGTCTTTTTATTTTAATAAGTTGTAATATTTGCAATTCATAAAATTTGCCCAAACAAAATTTTCGATTGTTTTCATTTCTTTTCGATAAGCAACAGATCATTAATTCTTATCAAAATGACATTAACTTTACTTTTAAGCTACTAAATTTAGATCTCAGTGATAATTAAAATTTAATTTTTAATATATTATTATTAATCAACGTATTACATCTACGATTTAAATTTTCTTAAACTATAGTGGCTATCTTATTTTTCCTCATGTAGTTTGTTTATTCTTTGCAATGAATGTAAAAGTTCGACATTAATTCTTGACCTCTTTTAGCCGTGCAAAAAAGCTTTTGAGAAATGTAATTTTTCTATCGGATACAATTTTCCTAAAGTATATTTAAGCAATAATTTTGGCATATACTTTCCAAATATAATGATTGAGTCATGATTTAGAAAGAAACTACGATCAGCCGAACAGGTTAGATTGTCATGATCTATTTTACTGCAAGTTCAATTTTGATAAATACTTTAGGGCCTTCATTCAGATGATATCAAAGGTTACCGAATTCGTCGCATATCCCAATCCGACAGGAAAATTGCTTAATGAGCATGTTTACGAAACATTTCCGTCATTCTCAGTCTCTTTGGAATGCTGAAAAGAATAAAATCCTTTTGCGAAAACATTCCTTGTTGATATAAGAGAATCAATTTCGAAATGATTAATTACTCTTAACTGATTTCTGTCAACATTCAATGATCTCTTCAGAAATCCCGGGATAAACTTATTATTACTAATTTTATCCAAGTTTAATAGAAAAAAAGAATCACACCAATTTTAACACTTCTTTAATGTAAAATATAAGAAAGAAAAATAATTTGCGATAATTTTTTAGCAAACAAAAGAATTATTTATTAAGAGGCATATAGCACAGGTATATTATATATACATATTTACATAAATGTATATATATATATATATATATATGCATGTATGTATATTCTGGAGTGAAATAATTCAAAATGAAAAATGAGAATGGCTAATTGTCAGTTAGTTTACATAGGCTTTCCTTGTGAAGCTTAGCAGATGAATAAAAATAGAATGAATTATTCCGCCCTAAAAACGACGCAAATGATAACATTGCGCAATTAATAGATGGATAATTGAAATGATGAGGGATAAGCGGGGATCAATTGAGATTTTTTTAATCACGTCATAGCCTATCCATGCGTATTTTTGCTATCAAAGTTTTATTGTTAAGGGATTATGAAATTTTTAAAAAGAATTATAAATAGAAGAATGATTCCCTTTTTAGGTAATTAATGCATTTACATTCATTTTGAACTTTCTTTCGCTTAAATTAAAATTTATATAGCAATCCTAATTAATTAATAAAAGATAGGAAGTTAGAAAACAATTTTAAATATCGATAAGCTTAATTAACAAATCATATAAACACATTCATATATTACTCATAAATAATTCTTCGCCTTTTCCTTTAGATAAGAAACTTTAAGCTAAGTGAGATATTTTAAAAACTAAACTATAAAATTCTCCCACTTTTTTTAGAAAGATGAATTTCAAAAGATAAGCCATTTACATTTTAACTAACATAAGTATTATAAAATTTTCAAAAGCATATTTGTTATGCAACTCTTTTTGCATGCAAATGAGAGAGGGAGAGAGAGAGAGAGAGAGAGAGGGAAAGAAAGAGAAACGGTGAAAAAATGATTTTGAAAAATGCTAAATTTAAGAGCTGCTTCGAACGAGTTATTGCTACAGCGCTGTTATTGAAATTTATTTCCAACAATGCGGGAATTATTGTTAGTGTCAACTCTTCAAATAAGTTGGATTTCAAATGTCGCCATATTCCGAGTCCATGTCTATGTCCATGTCCGAGAAGATGTGCTTTTTCCAATAGCATGATAAGTAAACAATTAGCTGAAAAAAATGAATGAGAAATTTCGATGGAACTTAATTAAACAACAACAATAATAATAATAGTATTAATAATAACAATAGCAAATTCCATGACGCAAACACAGCATTTTTTCGGAGCTGGTTGATAATTTCAACAATTGCTGTAATTAATGAAATTGAATAACATAATGTATAAAATTGTTTTATTCCAAATAAATATTAATTTACAACAACAATTGGACCCGTTTAATCACATATTAATTATCGTTAAGTGATAAGACGGTGAAAGTAACAATGGAATACATAACGACAACAAATTAAAATTTTTGAAATATCAATTAAGAAAAATGTTGAAAATAAAAATGAAATGAAAGAAAAGAGGAAACAGGTGTGAAGATAATACATTCCATAATATTATTAATGTGTAATTGAAAACAAAGAAATGAGAAATTATGAACTTTCATAATAATAAAGCAAAGACAATGCGAACTGACCAAATATCAAAACTGAAGAAAATGCCACTCTCAATGAATCACAAATAGAGTAAAACAAAAAATAATGCACTTTAAATTTGAAAAAGTTTTTAATATTAATTCTACTGATGATTTTTAAAACAATTTATAGTTGAATATTTATCATTTTGTCCTTTTATTTTTGCTAATGACAATTCAAATTAATTGAGATAATTAGTTATCGCAGAGAACAAAAGGAAAGAGTATTTTTTTTTTTTAACATGAAGATAAAATTTCTTTAGAAAATCAAAAATATTTATTTAGCTCTAAACTCAATAAATTCTCATATGAAAAAGAATTTCTCAAATTTCCTCTCATCCGTATTTTCTTCTCCTTTAATGTTATCTACCTTGGAAATAATTAATTAATGCTTCTCTTCTAACCTAATTCCCTGACGAATTATAAAGTCTTTAATAATTAGTCTTATTTTCCGAAGAATTCAAATTAAATTTTCTATAATATTTCCTTTATAGTAAGTATTCAATGATAATTACATTCATTTCATCCAAGCAAAATTTGCATTCATTACGAAAGAAAATTAATTACAGCAAAAAAGAAAGTTTTTTCCAACAATTTAAAGCATAGAATGAAATAATAGTAAGATATGGATAAGATAAAAAAGTAAATTTGTTCACATTTTATTTGGCATATATTATATTAACTTGACAGACTTATATGACTTTGACAGTCTTACATTTTTCATTTATTTATTTTTTTTAATAATTCGATTTTGTCAATTTCAATTATCTGATAAGATGGCTAACTTATGTTTGTTATTTATTCATTTAATATTTCCCTTAATCATAATTATCGAATTTTCATCCTAAATTATTAATTTGTTTCTTTTTAAATTTCTTCAATCGCCTTGACGATAAGCTATAATTTCATTTAGAAGAAAATATCTAAGTAGAAGTTAAAAAAAAAAAATAGTTTAAAAGTGAAAATCAATATCTTGAAATTCAACTTCAACTGATAATTCATATTGTACACAGAGGAAGAATATAGATTTTTCCACATTATTATTGAGCAATTGGCTAAATTAAAATTTATAAATGAAATGAAAAAAATGTTTTCATAAGCAAAACCTTTTAATAATTCCTTCCTTAGTTACTTCTCTGTTTGTCTTAAAATAATTCACTCACTTAAGCGTAATATTTTGATAGGAATAGTTAACTAATTTTATCAAATTTTAAAGATTGAATGAAAAAAAAAAAGGTTATTGATTCGCTAAAAATAAAAATTACTAACAATTAAAATTACCTTCTAATTATTTCAACTTCAATTATAAATATATAGCAAGTACCTAACAAAGAAATTCCTATCAAATATAATTTGAAGGAGAATTTATTGGGAAGTATCTAAAGGAAAGATAAATCATTTGATGAATGCATAATGTCAACATTGAAGCAGCATTTGTTCATCAAATATTAATTACGTTATTATTTTCACTTACCACAGTTACGCATTCACAACTAAACGATCAACGTATCACAATGACGTATTCACAAATAAATGTGCATAATTTGCTTAATTATTATTTCTTACACTATATGCAGATGGTTCACGTGCAAAATTCACAAATAAACGATTAAGGTACCAAAATTACGTATTATAAGTAATGATGGTGCGTGATTTCCTTGCGGCGCCACTACCTTTCGGCGGAATAGCAACACGTGGAATAAGTGATCGTTTCACTGGCGTACGAATGGAATGCATTAGCGCTTTTTCATCAAATGATGCCAACGACGATTCACTACCGAATGAATGTAATTCTAACGCTGGTATAGCTGCTTTTACCTAAAATTTGAAATTTTGTACAAAAAAGAATTCTATAAAATGGCTTAAAAAAAATGATTTCAAATATTTTGTTTGTATTTCGAAAAAATAAACATTACTTGTACCTCAAATTTTTGAATAAAATTATGATTTCAAACATTTTTCAAATTGTTTTATTCGCCAATTTTAATCTTTTTTCTTCTAAATTCAATCAATTTTCATAAAGTTAAATTAATTTCTTTCGCTTAAATATAATTGGAAATTGCTTCGACAATTTTAAATTTATATTTTTTGATTTAATTTATGATCTCATCTTTTAAGAAATATTTTATTTATTATTGTACTTAAAACTAAATTTACATTTCAAAAACTTCTTTGCCATATTTTAATTTTGATAGTTTTGTTTTGTTAGAAAAATTCAGAGGGACAGAAGGAAATATATTATTGATATAAACCATCCAAAATGAAAAAAAATAATACCTGCATCTTCTTGAAGGCTAAATCAGTACCGGAAGGAATTTGTCGTCGGGTCAATAATTCTGGTTTCGTTATAACAACATCCAATCGATTGAAATCAATATAACTAATTGGTATTCGTCGTTCATCGTTCAAAACATACGTTGTATTACAGCTGTTTTCAGCTTTTTGATTTCTACGCGTATCATCACTTAAAGAAATTTCGTTATTGTTAAAAAACGATAACGTTAATACATCCATTTCAAAGAATTATTCCTCATTAGTCTTATTCAACTCTAATTTTAGTTGGAATAGTATTACTGTAAATTACAATCATGTCGACTATTTATTTAGATTTAAGTGTTCGGTGATCCAGCAACTCTACCTCAATTAGTTGATACTGATAACTATTAGCAATAAAACTGGAAAATGATAAAAACATTCGTAATAATAATAAGCTATACCCATTTCCTTCTGATAAAATGATATTTAAGAAGGAATTTTTATTTTTTCAATCACATTACTTACGATGATAATAATACTAACGTCATGAAAATTTGTAATTAAAAATTTTTATCAAAGGTTTATGGAGTAATTTCAGATTCAATAAAATCAATACAATTATGAAACAGATGCTAACCGTAATTCGTCATCTGTTACTGTATCATTATCCACGCAATCATCCTCATCACTAATTGTCACTTTTGACATTGACGTAAGCGATTCATTATCAAAATTTACGCGATAACTATAAAACAGTCATAAAAGAACAGAAAATGATAAATGCCAGATTTTTTCTCAAATTTTTAGAAGTTAATCGAAAACTAAAGATGAAAATATAATTGAAATTTTTTAGAAAAGCTAAATGAAGATATGACGCACAGCACATTCCGTGGATCATTGATATTTCGACGCTTTTCATCAATTTCTTCACTGGAACTACGACTCACATAGCCAATGTCATCCTCAGCCGAATGAATTATTTCACTTCGTTGTGATTCAAATTTAGACGATTGAGTCCGGAAACGATTAACTATTTCGTACAGTGCTTGTGATTCGAACCTATAATTTAATCAATAAGTAATTACCGTTTTTTTTTTCAAATAAATTATAAAAAATATTCTTTTAAATCGAATTTACAGCAAAACAGATATTGTTGTTAATTAAGTATAAAAATATTAGCATAAAATAATCGAAATTTAATTCATTTCGATTAAAATATAAGAATATGCAGTATTTTCTAATGATAAAAATATAAATCATAAACAAATATATTTAAGCAAATATTTGAAAAATTGAACCTTTCTCCTTCTTCGATAAATATTTCAGAATATTTCATTTCGTCGTTATCTTTAATATCAACAATATTACACATAAGATGGAATAATTTAGTAAAATTGCGCATTAGTATATGTTCAATATGCATCTCATTTAAAAGTTTCAAAAGTATCAGATAAAGAGGACTTGTGATTGGAAGAGAAACACTAATTGATCTCATTTGATCCGTTCTTTTTAGCGCTTCTTGAAGTTCATCATAAGTTATATGCGAATTTTTAAAGCATTCATTGATTATTTTTGTAGTTTTTCGCCATAAATCATATTCTTTTAGAGTATAATGATTAATAATGCCAGAATGGAAGGAAATTTCAATAAAATTTCGTCTTATAGCATAACTATTGTTATCGGGAAATTGTTGTTGAGAGTTTTTAGTATTATTATCGATAGATATAGGAGCAAATTGTTGTTTGAAATTAAGCAATTCGGGAAGCTTTTCGGATTTCAATGATTCAAATCGCTCAAAAGTATAAATGAGCGAGCAAATATCCATTTTAGACGGCAAAGGGCAATTCAAAACAAGAATTAATGGAGCAACAAGTTTGCCCTGTGCACAACCGGTTAGATCGGTTCGTATAAATAAGGCTACCTGCATAGTTACCCTGAAATTTTCGACATTCAAATTACCATCTAAAATTGCGGAATAAGCGACAAAACTGAAATTTTCACATTTCAATTCTCGTGGTGTAATAGCAGCTAAATTTGCATCAATATCAAGAAATTTCAAACAGTTTGAAATTCCGGCAAAAGTAACTTCTGATCCATTCAATTCCAATCGTGCTGGACCACGTATCTCTCCGTCCAATAGTATTTTTTTACCAAATATTGAATAAGCAACAATTTTACTTTCTTGATTCTGAAAAATTCCTTCAATGTTCACTTCTTCGCCTGTAGCAATTACAGATTTTGAATCCACAATTTTACCGTCTAATGAAATGAATTCCGCTTCAAAAACGATATTTTTCACGCTTTTAATTATCCCTGTTTCACAATGTTCAATCTTTGTACGTGTGTAACTTTCCAGGAAGTCCAAGTTTGCCACTGTTCCGGTTAATACTAAATCACCGCACTCCACTGATAATTCACTGTTTGAGCAGGTTCCAAGGATCTCACCGCTGATATGACATGTACCATCGCTAATTTTCAAAACAATTTTATGTTCAACGAATATTCTTCCTTGTAGATGGCAACTATCTGCATAAATAGACACCGTCCTAAGTTTAGAATCAAATGATGACAAACTAAGTGCACCATCTGAAGCTATCGTTACCGCTGAAGCCATTAGTTCGGTGAAACGGATATCGCGGGTCGTCAAAATTATCGAATCACCACCTACATTACATGATTTCCGACAGCACAATATCCCACTACCAACCATTTTAACTTGCCGAATTCTCGCATCGATAATCATTGCTTCACAGGATAATTCACCGTCGATAATTAAAGTAAGATATTTACAACTTCCCGTAATTCGTAATTGATTAGCGGTTACCGAAGTACCACTTTTCACTACAAATTCAGTAGTATAAGCTGCGCCAAGGGTTATTTCTAATAGATCGAGGATTATTCGAGATTTAAAGATGATAGCATCCCGAGCTGACAATGCTATATTACTGTGACCATCGATGATGTCATTATCAACGAATAATCGAGATCGAGCTCTTATTCGAACTTGTCGTTCAGAACCATATCGACTTAATGCCACGCAAGCTTTCGATGCTGAAATGTCGAAATTTCCACTAGCTTCAATATGACCTTCCATATGGGTACATTCATTACTTGCTGATAGCAATTTCGGTTGAATACCTTCCAAATGTGTCTGCCCAAATACGCTTTGGAAATTTGCCAATCGTATATTCATTTCATCATTGGCAAAAATACGATTTGTATTTTGCAATTCGCCATTTCCATGAATTTCAATGCAATCGGCTGAAAACACGGCATCATTCCGGAAGAAATTCTCTACCACTACAATTACTTCACGCATATGATTCTGTAATTTATTACCACTGGTTAACCGACCACGATTGATTAATCCACCAGTGATAATATATACTTTTTCACCATTAAATCGAATTTGTCCCTCATGAAGCCATGTTGTAGCACATAAGACGCCTTCCGGAAACAAACCCTCAGGAATGGAATCGATTAACGATGTCCGCTGGGTATGCAACGAATTGCATGATATTAGAGTGCGATATGTAGCATCCTTTGATACAGAGTCCATTCCAGAAAGCAAAGAATAAGATGATGTCGAGAACAGAATAGCTAGAAAAGGTGCTATAACAGCTTCGGCTTTTAATTGCCCTTCTAGAATAAATGCTGGATATGTATGCATTGCAATAGATGATATTGCTGACGATGGTAAAGATGAAGGAATTTCGGAATCTTCGGAACTTCGCCCTTTCAGAATTAGTGGCCCATCGAGTATTTCCAGCTGTCCACCCACTGTTAGCCTTGATTCATTCACATGTGGTACGCAAATTTCGATTTGATTTACTCGAATATAACCATCAAAACGAACTCTTTTCGCCAAATTCATAATCAAGTAATCGGCGACAATTCGTCCTTGGCAACGCTCTTCTGACAGGTCATAAATTGTCATCGTAAAAGTATCTTTCACAAAAATAAGAGCATCTTCCGACTGCTCTAAACATGCAACATGCAAATGTAAATTTCCATCAAGATACCATGAAGAATCATTCCGAAATGTTCCCACTGCGACAGTTGCGCCTACCGTTATATTGACTCGTGCACCAGGTGCAGTTATCATATCATTACGAACATAGGCTAATAAATTCTCCAATGACAAATGCCCAGCAATAGTATATTGTCCTTCAGCTATTAGTTTTAACAAATTAGCGCTAAATTTTGACGAAGCATAAAAATTTGCTGATCCCTTAAGGATAATTTTAATTGCTTCTTTAACTTTCCATAAGCCACAATTATTAAATGATAGCGCTTCAATAATTGTTGTTTCCTCAACGAACACTTTCCCGGTATGCAAAGTAAATAAATCACCTCGGATTACTAATGATATGAAACGAGTTTGCCAAGTTCCTGAAAAAAAAATAAAGGTCTAATTTATATATAACTAACCTATTTATGTTTTTCTTTCTTTTCAAAATGATTTTAATTACTAGAAAAGATCACTAAATCTAAGATTATCAGGAAAGAGAATCAATTTTTAGGAATCTATGCGAAATTATTTAGAATCATGAATTTATAACAATAAATTCACATTCGATTTATCTAAAATGTATTAGATTAAGTAATAAGGGAGGAAAAATTTTCACAATTTTACTTCTGAAATAGATTTATTAGCCATTCAATAATTATGATATAATCGATTAGTTGTTCTATTTATTGATAAGGATAATTTTGAACTATTAATAATAGAACAGAGAGAGGGATAGTGGAGTTGAATAAAAGGATTGAAATAATGCAATTAGTATATAGTTACCGGAATTGTAACAACATTCACTGATTGTTCCTTCAAAAAAATCAACTTCTATATATGATTCTTCTAAGAATGTAGCCGATTTAACATCTAAACTAAACTGCTCACCCACTGACCAAATTCCCGAAACACAAAACGCTGAAGAAACTATCTGAAAAAAGTGTTGACGATAATAAATTATCATACTAATAAAATTGACACTTTAATATATGAATTTTGATAATTAATAAGGGAGAAAAGACAAAAATTACTTCATTAATACTCAGATTTTTATTTCGAATTTCTTAGGATAATAAAATAAGTTGCGTACTTCGATGTGATTGGAAATTATAAAAAAATTTTGAAAAATCAATATACATTTTTCAAATATTCCTCAAAATATTCATATATATATATATATATTTCTCAATGTTCATAAATTGTTTCATATCAAAGTATCATATCGATTATTAAATTCAAAAATGAATCTTAAAAAATTAATGATCATTTTATTTACGACCAAACAAAAGAAGCATAAATAGCTCAAATAATACAACAATATAGTATAAAGTAGTAAGGGAAATGAATTAACCGGTATTAATTAATCCCGAAATACACTCACAAATTTTGTTTCTTACTAAAGGATTACGAAGATAAAAATAAAATACGAATAAAAAATTGACCTTAACCCATTGCTCTTGGCTAATTATGGCTTCTTCAGTAGTGGCCATATTACCTCCACATGATACATCCAAATTCACATGCTTGACCTGCCCTAAAAAACATAAAATATCGAAAATCCTCAAACTGTCAATCCCAAAAGTTTTAAAATGTAGTAAGCAAAATTTAATAAATGAAAGATTAATTTACTTTCTTATATGTATATTTTAATAACTCTTGGTTATCATCAAATTTCAAGCAATAATTTAGAAAACTATTTACCTTCGATAATCAAATCATGCCCCACCGTTACCATAACCGAACCACTGGTCCAAATTGATTTTGCTTCACATTTTGCATTCCCATAAACTGTCAACACTAATGTACTACTTCGAAACTGTGCGCAGTCATCACAATCTCTTTCAATCTTTAATTAAATTCAAAAAATTGAAAGTTTATCTCAGAAAATAGCTCCACTCTTCAAAAACTCATTTTGCCAGTCATCTTATTCTCATTGTTTCAGGTGATAAGCTTAATCTTTCAACTATTCCAATATTATACATTTCAGCATAACTCAATTAAGATCTTAGCAGTGTTATTATTAGCTAACGATAGTTAACCATTATTATTAATCAAATAAAGAAAAGAAGAAAAATGCAGAGTAAAAAAGTAAAAAAATTAAATTGGTAATTAAAAATGCCTAAATTAAATAAAACTATAAATTTCTGCAATTTTTTTAAAAGTCAAATCAAATTCACTTTTCAGTATTTTACACATTTTAATAGCACACATTATAAGATAATTTCTTTTATAGCAATGACATAAATCTGATTAATTTCTTAAAACGATTTGATTTTTGATTTTATTAAAGAATATTATAAGTTTGTTTGATCTTTGATGATCATTTCAATTTAATTTTAATCCAATTGATTTTTGCTTCACATTACAGATATATATATAACGAATATACCTTATGCACCAATTTTATAAAAATTTATGATTTCTAACAATTAATTAAGTTTGTTATATTTATTATACTATCAAATCTTTATTGTCAGATAATTCTATTATGCTTTCAGCAATTCAAAATGAAATTGTTTGATTATTAAATTATTTATCCAGCAAAGTATTTATTAACTCTAATAGTTTTTTTTATTAATTACCAAATTCTTTTCCTTTATTAATCATCAAATTTTCTCTGTATTATATCTACCTTAGCATTAACATTATTAGAAGTGATAATTCCACGTTTCCAATCATGCGTACTGATAAGAGCTTGGATTAGAGTTATCTTTTCACGCATTTTATTACGTCTTTCTGATGCTTGTATAGCTTTATATTTTCTAACAGCTATCTTTCTTGGCGTATCATCATCCGCATTATTCATCTGTAAAAAATTGTTAAAAATAGCAATGAAAAGTTGAATTTGACAGCCTAAAAACATTATTAATGACAATTTTCAGTATGAAAATTCCTTCACAACTTCTTTTTCTTAAAAAAGCATTAATTAGCAAATAATAATTAAACCTTAATAGAATCATTTAAATCCACGCCATCTTCCAGTAACTGAGCGACAGTATCTGGTTTTTCGTATAAAATTGCTGAACTAAGAGTACGACTTGTTGGTAATGAATCGGATGTTTCACTGCTGATACCTTTGATTTGTTTTAAAGCTGCATATCTGCAAATAAATGAATTGAAATAAATAGGAAATGGAATAAAACAATATAAAATTAGTGAAAACATGAAATAATTATAATTAAGATCATAATTATTTCACCAACAATTATAATATTTAATCTGCTGAACAAAATAATAATTTCTTGATAATTAAAATATCTAAAAAACTTTTCAGTTGATCACAAAGACTGCTATAATTGTTTAATTATGATTTAATAAAATGATTTGAAATTTCAAATTAAAACCCTCTGGGAGCGCTATCAATTCGGCTATCTTGTAGTGATAAGACACTTCCATCTATATGCAATTCCATTTCATTCTGGGAAGCGATAGAACCAAAATTGGCCAAGCAGCCGGTTAGACGGAAATAAAGCACACTTACAAGATTTTCCGATAATTTAGGCATCTGAAATTTGAAGAAAAAAAAAGAAATGATTTCATTTTTTTTTTGATTTTCTAATCAACTAAATTTTTTGATAATTTTAATTAATTAATTAATAAGTGGTAAAATATTCCAATTAATTGGAATATTTTATCACTTATTTATATTATTTGCATATTCGTCGACTAAGAAACTTTTCTTAGTAATAATATAAATAATAATAATATAAATAAGTTCATTTCTGTTGCTCAAGGAAAAAAATATAGTAAAAAAAAGGTGCTAATTAACTAGTTTGTCTAAATCTATTGTTCAATTACGGTAAACTTTATTATCTGTTAAAACTTTATATCTGCTAAATCTTTATCTGTTACTATAAGTTTATTTGATAATTTATTATGTATTTATTTGTTTACATTGTAAATTTACTTTTTTTACGATCGATTCATCTACCCTTTCTTTTTATCATATTCTTGGCAACTTTTTATTAATCAACTTTTTTGTTTAATACTTTTTAACCTTAAATTATTTTTTTATTAACTTTTATTTCATTTAATTTTTTTATTAAATTATTATCCTCATTATTACCTTTTCCTTTAAGTTCATAATTTTATCCATTAATTATTCTCTCAAAATATAAAAAGAATAGGAAATTACGGATTTATCGGTAGATGAACGTGTCGTACCGATTGTACCATCAACGCCGATATGTAACAATGCAGAATCAATAAATACAGACATTTTGGATGGCATTTGGTCCAAGCAACAAATTCGACCATCAATCTGAACACGTCGTGATACCATCTGAAAATGGATATGTTAATAAATGATAGGAGATATCCATGATTTTTAGAATGATTCGAAATCTTTTTTTTTAATCTTATTCCTGAATTTAAAATTTTATCTATTGCTGAATTTAAAAAAAAAGAAATTAGAATTTTCGTACAATTAAACAGCGGAAAAACATAAAATTAAAATGTCAAATTTTAAAAGATAAAATGAAAATATGAAATAATTAAGAGGAAATATTTGGAACAAACAGATATGTAAATAAGCACATTTCGTGTAACGTTAACAAACGCGTAATTTTGAACATATAAAGATTATGAGATATGGTTTGATGAAAATAGGAATGAGTAGACAAAACGATTTCACGTATGATGAACAAACCCGTAATTTTGAACATGCGAACAAAGCTTCCGGTTTGATAAAAATATGCTGAGCTTTGAGGATAACACTACGAGCGGATAATTTCGAATTAGTATGCAATGCTCCAACCGTTGATTCAAATGTTACTTTAATGGCTTTGATGCGACCGGTTACCTAAAAAAGTGATATATTTTGAATTACTCATCTTCGTATGAGTAAATTTCGTATTATTTATCTGAATTACGAATTATAAGACTGAATATACTTCAGTAATATTTCTCGTTTATGAGTTTTTCATTCATTTAAATATCATTATAATTGAAGGTAGCTTTCCATCTCATCCAGAATTTGAAGTCAGGCTTATTTTTTTAACAATACTGGAAGATTCACATCCAGATCTTATCCATCAGACGATTGATGGATATGTTATAACTGATTAGTTAATATTATCAGATAATCCCAGTGATACATGATAAAATTTTTCGTGAATTCTAGACAAATAAGTTGAAGAAATATTCTTAATTTATATAATGTTATGTCATGTTATGAAATTAAACAAAATTGATATATTTTGAATATGAAACGTGTTTTGAAATTTTATTTTAAATAAATTTAGAAATGTGTCACAAATTTTTTATCGATTTCTCCACTATTTCACGTACCTCGAGATTGGGGCCTGCAACACCAATATGACTTAGTTGCGTATTGATATCACGAACACACGTTCGGATATCACGTTCATGTGTTAGAGCATTAACATAAACACATATATCCGGTTTGCGTTCCATCTAGAAAGAAATGTTGTCTTTGTAAGAAAATTTGAATGAAAAAAATTGATCAAACTTTAAAAAAAGAATTACAAAATTCAAATTTATTTAATATTTATTTATTTGATTTTAAACTTACAACATGTTGAACAGTAATTTTATATTGCTGTTCCAATCGCTGAACAACAATTGTTATACCACCGCTCATTTGTACACGTATTGGTGGCCATTTCGTTGATTGATCATATGGTATTGTCACCTAAATGATATTTTAAATAATTAAAAGATTCCTAATTTTGAATGCAATTTGTACAATTAAAATTTACTTGAAAAGAATGAATGTAAATGAAAAATACAAACTTGTGCATTACGTGATTCTTCGAATAATTGTATGCGAGGCTTTCGTCCTTTTTCAACTTTTAAGTAAAATTTTCCAGCATCACTTGTAACCATCTGTAATGAAAGTTATATTAAATATTTTTTTTCAGAAAAGCAAATTATTTCAAATATCCAAAATACGTGTAATATATGCAAAAATATTTCAAACGTTTATTACTAACAGTTTATAATAATTTTTTTTGACAACGTTATATGATTTGCAATTTCGAATTGAATATTGAAATTTTATCTATATTTGCATATGATTATGTAAAATTATATAATTCATTATAATACCATTCAAAGGTTATTACTTATTCATTTATAATGTTTAAACAGTAATTATTACTTACTTCATTATGACTAATGAAAAGTAAAATAAATACCTATACCTATTGCATTTGCATAATGATAACGATAATATACAATATCACTAACAACAATATAATATTCATTTCTAATTAGATAACTCTTTAATTTAGCATAATTTTTAAACTAAATCTGTTTTCTCTCAATTGTGAATTCAATTTACCATATTTTAATAGAAAGGAAATAATTGCTATAATAGACATATATTGGTATTTATATATTTGAAACTAATTTTAATATATAATCATTACAACGATATGTGTGTATAGATGAAGTGAATTAATCTCATTATATAATCATTAATGTAATTGATTTTCATACTGTTTGTTTACTATGCTATTAATACAAATTATATTAGTAATTGAAAAAAAAAAAAAAGAACGGCTTTAATTTAAAAGTTATGCCAAAATAAACAGGTATCGGATTAGAAACGAATAAATTATTCATTTAAAATGGACAAAACATTTTTTAGTAATATCTGACAACAACTACAACGACAATAATAATAATAATTAATAATAATAATAATTTTTAGTAATATCTGACAACAACTACAACGACAATAATAATAATAATTAATAATAATAATAAT